CAGTACAAATCGGCAATTTCATACTTTAACCCCTATTATTATAATATCAAGTGACGGGACGAACATGTCATGCGACTGATGGTAAACTGCACGCTTGTCCATAACAGTTGCAGTGCCACTAATTGTTTTAAATCGCAAAGATCTGAGGGGCACTGCTACTTCGCCCGTCACCCTGAGGCACAAGTTGACTTTAAAACCGGGACGCTTGCCAGACTTCGCGGAAGAAACAGGTACGGTGGCAATACTGCCCTGGACGAAATCTTTGACAAGGAGGTCTGCTGTTACAAACCAGGTTTCCGTATTTTTAGGTGACGAATTAATACCTCAACGTTATGATACTGTAGTTGAAACTTTAGTGAAAATAGTGGTAGCTACTACACCAAAGCTGCGGTAAGCTTAAGGATAGCGAGCTGCCATGCAGTCCCGGAATGCTTCGACAACCTCGGGAATGCTGCTTCGGCAGGCTTATACATTTAACGTTACAACTGATCTGAATAGAACCTAGTCGCGAACACGATTTCGCGACGGTACACTTCGGCATGCCTAAGGATACCACTGCACATGTGCCATCATTGTGCGCTTGCGTGTAGGGATGCCGGAGGATCTCATGCCATTACCGTCCTACCAATGGGCGCCGGGCGTAAATTGGGTTTATTGAACACGTGCACTCGTCCTTGAAAAAAGCAAAGGAACTGCAGCTTTTGTACCAAACATCTACGTACGAAATGAAAAGGCAAGTCATAGTAATCATTAAAGTTTTCGTGATATTTAATAGATTACAAAAAGGGTCTCACCCCAGTGTTTGCCTTCATCAGCGTGACAAATAGGTACAGGATTATTAAACTTTACAGTTTGTGGTTTACAATTTTACTTACTTCCGTGTTTACTCACTGTCAGTATGTTTACAAACAAAGTGCGTTGTGTTTTATTTTGCTTTGACCATCGCGTTTAACGAACAAGTGTGTCAACAACAGTCAACATTGTTCGAAACTGTCTTACATCTCTCAATAGATATTGTTCGCCATAAACGTGATGGCGCCACATAAACGATGTAAAAGGCATTCAATTTCATTAAATTTTTTTGTTATTTCTCCGCCTGTCTCTTTTGTAAACAAGTAGCTTGCTTTGTAATTGACATTTTTTTGTCTCGAACATCAAGTTCGATCTCAGACATAATTATGTTATGGCAGGTGGTTGGGGTGGTGGGTATGTTGATACAAACATGGTATCCAGACATATTTAGCTTACGTTGCAATCGATCGAGTAGCTCGTTATAGGTATTACATGTACGTGCCGATCTAAATAATAATTCATGATATCGGTTTCGTAATAAAAAACGTTGCAAAGTCAAACCTGTTATACTTCCTTGAAATGGTTATTTTAAAAACAATCTTCAAATAGCTTACTTATTTGTTTATGATAAATCTTAATAAATACTTCTTTGTTCTGAACGCAATATACTCGTACAGTACGACTTCAATTACTTATGCAAAACATTCGCGCAGCATTCGCCAGACACATGAAGGAAGCTGTTTACGACTTTTTGCTGAGCAGCAATTCCGCATTTGTGAGAACATTTCGGGATCTACCTTTGGTTTTGTAGCCATGTCTAATCGACATGATGAAGGGAAAGTCTGTCTTATAATCTTAGTAAATATTGCTTAAGTAACCAGATTTCTGTATTTTTTTATTTAGCGGGCTTAGATATTTGGAAATAACCTTACTGTAAAAGTAATAAATACAGAGATGTTGATAGTGTAAGAAATATTAATCAAGGCGGATTTGCATATTTAGTGGTTCATTTACTGAACAGCGTGTCAATTGATAGCGCTGTAATAAAGAACACACACAAATAAATTACACTTCATATTATGCATTCTACTTTGTCTTATTTTTTTGAGAACAATATCTACGTTAATGACGATTAAGTAAATAGGAATATAATGTTATTTGTGCATCTCCCACGGATTATGCACCATTTGTAAAATTTAGGTAGACTAATAAATAACGTGATATGCTTTTTATCTTGGTGAAAAGGGAGCTAAAATTAATTTTATACCAAGGTGAAATTAAAAATACACGTCTATTAATAATTATTTAATTAAATTTCGAAAGTTTAGTAAATTGGACCGCAAGTTATGAGACGTTGCTTTTGTGGAATTTGCAAAGTTTTTCGAATTAGTCTTTTGTAGGCTCCTACGCAATTTTAAGCATTGGCCTTTCTGAATACAGCAAAATTTCTCAGAAATTAAGGAATGCCAACTCAACTTCAAAAGTTAGTGTTTCGATATTGATAATGGCAAGTGTGAAAGCGAAGAGTGACGTGGCGGGCAAGTGACATTTCCATCTGATAACTCGCTCTCCCGGGAGCTTCGCGTCCCGTCGTCCTGCCTTAGGAAAGACTGCTTTATTGGCACTATTCTCCCACATTATCGTGAATTAGGGGCAAGATTGTTCAAGTTATAGATGTCTACTGTTCTGCAATATGGCTGTAAATGGGAAGGCGCGGTATAACATTTCCGACATTTCCGTCGGACTCTTGGGAATGTGTATTTCATGATTATGAGTACGTGTCCCAATACTGATATTGTTTAGCGACGTTCATTATATTCGTCTAAATTAATAAAGTACCTAGTGCATTTGTATTTCTACTAGGTCATACGACAAGGTACCTATATGAATCTAATAAAACTCACGGCTTGTAACCATTCCCGTATTGATTTATTTCATATTATGACTACATATTGCGTGATAAAACAGTTTTAAACTCTATCAAAATGGTAAAATCTTATCAAGGGGACTCCTTTGAGTTGGGGGTCGAGATGTGTAAAGTATGGGCCTATTCTGAATTTTAATTTGATAAATCTGAGTTTTTAATTTCTAGATGAATAAACACCCCGAAGACCTAGAAATAGCATGCCGAAAAAATTATTCTTTGTTAGGTCTACGTAATAGGTATCGTAACAAATTCGTGAAAAAAACGTATACTCAAACATAATTTCATTTTTAATTTAACTAGAAATATTATTTTTCTTTACCTTAATATTACTTCCTTACGTGGAGAGATGTGGCAATGCGATATCGAATGTCGCCTGAATTGACCTCCTGCAACCCTCGACCTCAGGCGACATTGTAACCCTCCAAGGGGAGATCGTCGTTTATCGATGCCCATATTATCTGATCGCATAAAAAACATTATCCTACATTTGCATTTCTCATAATATTACCTGCAAAGAGTCTTGATATATATCTCTATATTCAATCTCTTTGGTTTACTTTAAGAATAGATTTAAAAATAACATTTTCGAATTCCGTTCGATTGTATTTCCTTTTATTGACAATATCATTCAAATGCTTCAAAATTATTATTAGAAACAAAAGTTTTGCGTTTAGTGATAGGCACATTTTCTACAGTTTTCTTGAATTGTTTTTGCATCCAGTGTAATTTTAAATTTTATGGCAACCGACATTGTAAGGCCTAACTTGGAGAAGATCCCAAATCGCTTTGATAATGTTAGGAATCTAGAACGTAATTCTAAGGACAACGAGATTTATGTAGATGGAGTAAATCTTAACGGGATTGTTTCTAGAGTTCACTCTCTGTTTGACCAAAAAATATATCCTAATGTAGCAAACAAGAGGAGCCTACGTTACGCAAAGAAAGGTTAATCAATTCTCAAGTATATACATTTTCTCCGTATGTAATCAATAATCATCTATAATATAATAAACCCATATCCTTTTTCATTCAAATCCCGTGCCTTTTCCATAATCTGTAATTCTGCTTTCCCAACCTTTTCATTGGCTAAATTCGAAGACAGTCATTAATAATAATAATTTAAAAAGAACCATCTTCATATTCCGTATACGTTATATAGCGTTTTCTAGCACCATTAAAAATATTTAGGCCATTTTTTCCACAGTGATATAAATTGAAAGTCATAATAATTTTATTTCACATATTTATTTTATGTTTTACATAACAAGTGAAGTCGTTATCCGAGAATTCGGAGACCTCGACTGCATGAAGTTGATTACGACTTCACGCATTAACTGCAAACATGCAGTCAATCTGTTAGCTGCCTATGACTAAAATATCGTAGATGTTTTGTAGAAAGGACTCAAGCGACATTTTGTCGATTTTTTCAGGGGAGCATGTTTCAGGTTTCACAACTGTTTTGAAATATTTATACGTTGTTTTCAATTAAGTTTTAAAATTGAATGTTTACACAGGACGAATTTTTAAAAAATAGCCGTTAAAACGTTAAACGTGTTCCCCTGAAAAATCTACGAAATGTTACTTGTAAATGTTGTGTGTGTATTTTTTAATAATCTATGATACTCGATACTAGCAATAAAAGCAAAGAATAGCAAAATTTTTAAAAATCCCTTATCCAATAAATACACATTTAATTAAAAAAAAAGAAATTATTATCACTAAGCGTTGTATTTTGATAAATATATGTGTGTACTGTATGATTTATGTAGGTATATATTGGCTGGATTTGAATTTGTAGCTAAGTGGTTATTTTATGTGAATAACGGGATCTTCTTTAAATTTTGCAATACTTTAGTATTGAGTATAATAAACTCCAAATAAACATTGATTGTCGAAAAAATAAGCTGGAAATAAAATCGTTTTTTAACACACTTCAAAACAGGTTTTTTTTGTATGTATGTTACGCGATAATTTCGATATTTGTGAACCGATTTTACATGATTATTTTTTTTGTTGGAAAGACAGTTCCTCCATAGTGATCAAATATAATTTTGAAGAAAATCATCTACCTCTAAGGGTGGCTGTTCACGCATGAAGATTCATTTTTATAAATATCGCCTAAATTTTATTATAAGGAGCAATTATTTTAATGGTTGATTTTGCTATTCTCAAATTCAAGGCGTTTTTCCTCTCTCAATATACTTTGAGTAGTGAGAACCGATTTTTATTATATCCTGTGTGAAGTCCTGTATAGTGGCGAACTAGGAGATATTTCAATAAAATTTGGCAAATACATAGTACTCTGTACTGAGATTATCATTTTTCAACTTACCTATAAGTAAGTCGAAAAAATCGATTGTTATTTTTTATGTTAGTTTGGATTTTGAAAAGGGTGACTAATTCTATTAGTCCAAGGGTACACACTGGACTTTCAATTTTTTTTTCATGTTTTAAAATTTAGTGGTGCTACTATGAATGAAGGATATGGCCTATGGACTGAAATTAACTTTCGTAAACACTCACTCACTCACTCAGGCTCAAATTTACTATCTTTTGCTCCACAACCACTAGTAATAAGAATAATAAAAATAATTGTTTATTTTAATCTGTAGACTATAGTAAAAAAGTGGATATGACAGTTTTAAGACGGCGCAAATATCTCGAAAATTTCTAAAAATGCTTAAGCAAATACATAATGCGAGAAAGATACAAAAAGTGGACTGGCTGCAGGAGCAGCAGATGGAGTGTCTAGACCATAGTTTCGCTACTGCCCCCAGTGGGCCTTGAAGTTTCTGAGAGGTTCTGCCTCGGAAGCAATTGGGGGGGCGTAAAAAAACGGCAAATAAAACCTGAAATATCTTTATAAACTACGCTACATATATATAATTTTTTCCTTGTGATTTTTGTGTTAAGTTAATTTAAAAAATACATAATAAAAGAATAATGTTTTCAATTATTTTTCTGGTGGGGGGCGTTGAAATGCTTTTATCTTACCTAAGTGGGCGGCTAGCCAAAAAGTTTGGGAACCTATGATCTAGACTACTGCTTTGGATATTTAAAAGAAAACACTCGTGTAATAACAGCTTTTTGTATTCCAGACAAAATGGAGGAGCGGGAAAACGAGCCTGCGGAGGGCGTCCCCGACATGACGCTGATGCCGCAGATCACCGAGGCCGCAATCAACGACAACCTCAAGCGCCGCTACAAATACGACCTCGTTTATGTATCCTTTGCAATTTACATCACAATGCATATACCTGCGTTCTAGTCTTATTCTCCGTCCGACATCCACCCGAAACTATTACCGTCAAATAAGCGTTATTCGACCAAATTTAAAAACGCATGATACGAATGAAGCTTCATACTTGACATTGTTTTTTTAATTTGGTCGAATATTATTTCTTTTTTTTCTCTTTTTTTTCTTTTCTTTTTTTTTTCTTATTACTATTGTGTCGGACTGATGTCGGAACGGGAGTAGACCCCCGGGACCAGTTATTCTGTATAGGTTTATTAAGATGAAGTGAGATCGTTTTGACGTGTTTGGGCCACACGGAAAATCGGTTTCGATATTAAAAAACACTAATTAAACCTTTTTTTTTATTGATAATGAAACGAAAGATACCGGTGCTGAACTACGGCGCCCGAAATACGATTGGCTAAAGTACGCTCAATAAAAAGAAATATTACGAAAGTTTTTCCACGTTCACTTACGGAAAAATCCGTTTCATCCGATAGATATTTCAATGAAATTTTCTCCGTGTTCCGTAGTAAATACGTCAAGGAACTAGGAGCTTATTTCACTGTAAGAGAGTCGCTTCTAGCCCGTGGACCACCTGTCTGGTTCACCTGAGTGGCCCACGGGCAATTATTTCTTCCCGTGGTTCACCTATGTGTACCTGGCTGGACTATGGGCACTTATTTCTTCCCGTGGTTAACCTAGAGATTTTTCTTTTCTCGTGAGTCACCTTGAACTCCTTTAACATTTCGATTGCAAAGATATATAACTATTTTAATGTCTATTAATTGACAATTTGATGAATTGAATTTGTTAATGTATGGCAGTTGTTTCCTAAAGGACGAAAATACGAATAAATTAATTTAAAACAAAGTATAAGATGAGTAGTGTAGAACTTAATTTTATTCCGAGAATAGGTGGCAATAATAACAAGTTTACAAAACATTATTGTTGATGTCTAAAAATGCCAGAGACAATTTTTGTTTTCTTATATGTTTACTTTCATTTTCGAGTTTAGCCAACGATATGCAAGTTTTATAAGTATTGTAAAATTTGTGGCTTTAGTTCGATAATAATAATGTTAACAAATATCACGCAATAAACATAAATAACAATTTCTGTGTATCAAACTGTAAGTTATGCACACATTTTTTAAAACGATAAATATTATAATGGCCAGCATCATACTGTTCATGTCGAGATGGACCACCACCAATATAAGTTTTGAGTAATTCTATTTTATATGTAAAAGGTGAACCACGGGAACAAATAATTGCCCGCGGTCCATCCAGGTGAACCAGACAGGTGGTCCGGTACGGGCAAGAAACGCTTCAAAGCTCCCTCAACCACAATACCATTTTACCATCGGCATAAAATAAAAGTATTATAAATAGAATATTACATGTATACAATGTTGTAGTTATTTACACATTGGTAGATAATTATTTTTAACAAACAATTTTATCACGAAAATATTTGAAAGTTACTTCAAATAAATGTTAATTTTACGTTATCATAATCCGAGACTATAGTAATAATAGAATAGTGTATGAAGAACTAATACGTACAATATACGTCCAGTCGGAGGCTTCTAACGCATTTTCTCCGTTTGTTAAAACATGTTTAATAGAAAAATAACCGTCAAAGTAAGTCAAATATTCATTTATTCCGTAAGTAAAATTTTTACAGACTGTTTTTTAGAACATCAGTTTCTAAACTACTACTCGTTCACTACGCTGACCTCCCTGAGGAGAACGAGCAAGAAACTCTTAGGATTGCTCTTTTCAAATGAACTTAAATGCTGTGGAATACACTTTGAATCGTAATTGTGTGGAATCTAGACTCATGCTGTCTTTCCACACATATACATCTTTCTCTTCAATTTAGTAACATGACTTTTGATTTAAAATACTTTTAATGTAAGTTTTAAACATAACAAATGATAATCTTATTGTCAAAAACGTATACAGTTCCCCGTAAAAGAATCGTTTACCTAAGTTAAACGAAATCGTATTACCATAAGTTTAGACTTGGTTCTAAGATTAATATTATGGATATCTTCTTAATTGAAATTATGTATATTTTTACGGGCATACAAAATATTTGAGTAAATGTACGGTGATGCGACAGTCATGATACCTCAGTCATGATACCTGTCTCCTTAAACTTTTCTCTGAGATAAACCCGTGGTCCATAGTGTGAATATAGTCCTCAAGAATAACATGTTAAAATAAACAGAATTGACATGCGTCGAAATGAAATTAAATCGAAGGCTTCGCAAGAGCAAGTTTTATATTTGTAGGTTTTTTGCCAGAGTCTGAAGTGAAAACAATGCTGTAAAAATTTGGTTTTTGCTGTACGGAATGTATTTTCCTTAATAACTAATAAACAGACCTACACAGGATCCATTCTAGTCGCAGTGAATCCCTACAAGGAGTTGGGATGTTACACAACGGTAAGTTTCACTGTACATTCTTAATACATCCTATTTACTTTCTGCGTCTATTTTATTTAAAGATGGCGAATAATCACAACGCCAAGCGTAACTAGCGTCGCTAAGAAATATTTCAAGTAAAAATATTTGTATGTTTTATTGACCAGAGATTCTATTTATTTTATTGAATATCATGATTTTTTGCTAACATTATTACCTTACGAGTTTCTCTTGAGTTTCTGTTGCGGTTGTTGCAGGTCATTGGTTTTGGTTTTAACGACTTTTTTCTTTCTTTGTAATGTCTAATTTTGGTCACTTACGAGTAATTACTGCAGTCTTACATATTATCCATCTCCTGACTGTCATAACTAGTTTAATATATCTAAGACTGTAAGTAAAATAAAAAAAAGATCAATCAGCTGTTGTTGTGTCATACGTAACATGATTGCGAAGATGAATGAGGCTATCGAATTTGAAGGCTGTCTGGAGATATTAACAGAATTTCGTGATAAATGCATTTTCGCTGTAAAAAAAATAGAAAGTAATAGAGAAATCCTAATGGAAAAACGTAATATATTCGCCTAAAAAGATTAGAGTATCTCGGAGAAATTCAAAAGACAAGGGCCGATTGCAAAAATATTGTCTTGAAAAGGGAAATCTTGAACAGATAAAAAGATAAAAGGTTTAAAGAAACCAATTTCTAAAGGTGAGCGTATAATCATCGTTCATGCTGGTAATGAAAAAGGTTTTGTTCCAGATGTAATTACCATAAAGAACTCGATGCAGATCATAGATATAGGAAAAAAGGGGAGATATGTAATAACGCTATGTAAGCTCGGGTACCGATGTCGCCACTTTTTAGCTTGTGTGCAATTCAAACTTTATTATCTACATAGATTTTAAGACTTTCGTGGTTATTCACTAAATGATTATCACTAGTAACAGGTTTCTTACCACGGTATAACTTCTTTTTATTTTCCCGATATTTCGGAACGGTTGCACGCTCCATGGTCACGGGTTGACTGGACGGCGGCAGATGACAGCTTTATGGGCAGACATATCTGTCTACCCTCTTGCGCTGTCGACGACTACCTTCATCGCGATTTGTTATGGCGTTACCATTGTCACTCACTTTTTTCACACAAACCACACTTACTGTATCCACACGCGAAACTGAACTCGAGGTGTTTTTGTTTTTATTACTGCACGCACTAAGGACCGGATTCCATGCACTGGACAGTTTAAAACCATCATCACGGTTAAATGTTTTGTACTTCGTGATCTCGATGGCTTCTCGTACCAACCGTGGTATGTAGTGACGTTCTGTCGAGAGTACCTGGGGGCTATGCAACTCGATCCAGTGGTTAGTGTCAGTCTGTGTGAGATGTTGTGCTATAGCCGACTTCTGTGCATCATTGTTTTTTACTGCTCGGATGTGTTCCTTCATACGATCGACAATTGTTCGTTTAGTCTGACCGATATACGAGCTCCCACAACTGCAGTTCACTTTATAGACACCCGGTGTTTGTAAAGGAAGGTGGTCTTTTGGTGAACGTAACATTTTTCCTATTTTGGTTAAGGGGGTGAAAACAGTTTTTATGGAAAACTTCCTTAGCGACCTGGCTATTTTATCTGTCACCCCTTGTACATAGGGCAGAAAAACTGGTAGTCTCTGTAATACACATACATTTTTTCTTCAAGCAACAGCAACATACAAATTGACATGAAATTGAAATAGTTGTCCGAAATATGAGTTGTGTTAAAGTTACTCGAAATAAAATGTTTAGTAATAATAATAATAAAATAAAGGAAATCAATTTAACGTGAACGCTTTTCGCTTCGATATTTTAGGGACTTCAGTAAAAGTTTATTGTCGATAAAAATCGGTCATCGTAAATGAACATCACAATATTTGAGTCTAGAAATTTGTATGGAGACAAAAATAAAACATTGAATAATAATAGAAATAGTTACTACAAATTCAAATAGCCGGGGGAATGTTATCTCACTTGTTTTAAAATTTTTGTTTTCACTCCTGAACTTGGCATTTTCACGTTTCACGAGAGATCTTGTATGTACAACGATCGCCATGTCACTGTGACGATGTTTGTAGGCGTGTCACCTCCATATGATCATTTTGATCATATCGAGGCGATACGAACCACGCCCCCCCACCAAATCTCCCCTTTTTTCCTATATCTATGATGCAGATACACTTCTGGACACATAATTCGTGCCACCACGCATTTTCAGTATTTGAAGAATGTTTGATTGATCAAAAACTATTATGTAATTTTGAAACTAGTATACTAAACATCTTTTCCATAAGTCCTTGTTTGTATTTGCAAAACCGGGGAAAACTTTTTCTTCGATGATAACACTATTTTTGTATTTTAGCCCTTTAAGGTAAAAACGCGAGGTGGCTCGAATTATGTGTCCGGGAGTATATATATCAAACTGAGCTTTATAGGAAACGAAACTATATTTTTTTTCGGATGTAAATCGCGTATATTTGTTTTTTTTTTCAACAAACCAACAACCAACGTTTTGGGCCCGTTACAGATCCCACGGTCACGGGTGCCTGAGATATCGCTTTGTAGCGAGTTAATACCGAACTACTCGACAATGCACCATACCATTATGGCTCAAAAACCACAAATTATAGTTTTTCTTGAACAGCATAACATTCCTTTTAACCAATGAAGATTGATTTATGACATTCTAAAAAACATAAACAAAAATACTCGGAATTTGCTATTGACCACATTGTGGAAGAACAGCATCGGAAGTTCAATTTAATTAAAAAACTTTTGGTCTCAAATTAAAGGACATGTAGCTATGAGAAAACGTTGCGGTGAGTCACATTCAACAATCAAAGAAATTATATTGAAAAAATTTTATATGATTGGACCGGAACCACACCACGGACCACAGTTAAAGCATAAGTACAAACTACAATTTAAGTTGGTAGATTATTGTAAAGTATCTTGTGACGCCCTGTAAGGGCATAGCAAATTAAAGAGGGATTTTTATAATAGGTAAATAAATTTACACCAACAAAATACATATATCAAACAATTCCAATACATTTCAACTCATTAAAAACAATAATATTTATAAAATTTTAACATTACTCACATTTTAGGGTAGGACAGGCAAGTACTTACAAAATAAAAATAGGTATGTAATACAATTTTTAGATTACTAACTAAATGTCAAAGGAGATTTCATAACATAATAAAAAATATTTTAAAAATACTCTCTATTCTAAATTAGTCTAAATATTCTACTAAGGTTTTTCATTATATTATTTCACCAAATTTTAATCACAGATGTATTCATTTATATTATAATAAGTTTTGTTTTTATTAATAACTGTTTCAATGATTTTTCAAAGTTAGTGTCTTTATCTATGCCTCTAATATGAATAGGTAAATTATTGTACAATTTTGCCATATGAGGACTTGACGATTTTTATGTTTTCTTACAAAACATGATTCGAAAATGTATATAGACGTGAAGGTGAGGATGCCGTGTTTTGCAAAAAGAGGTTTGCACGATTCCATTTGATTAACGTTTGTTAATATCCTAATACACTTTTTCTGTTTTATGAAAATGTCTTTAATGTCTGAACAAGTTGCCCCACAAAATTATGCCATACGATATTATTGAATGAACATAAGCATAGTATACCGACAAAGAAGTTTTAAAATCGGTCACTCTTTTCAAATTACTCAAACCGTAAATAAATGACGACAATTTGCGAGCCAGTATTTCTATATGTTGCTTCCAAGTGATAGTAGAATCGATTTCAATTCCTAATACACTTGCGAAACTTACAGTTTGTAAAGATATATTGTTATGCGTATATGAGATTTGTAATGCATTTTTTGAAAAGGTCGAAATTGTGTCAGCTTTGTTTTATTGATATTAAGTCCTAAATTATGAAGTTTAAGCCAGTTTGTTATTTTGTCAAGTATGAAATCTAATTTTTGGGATAATTCGACTGTGTTAGACCAAGAAGTTATTACAGATATGTCGTCCACAAAGAGAGTGTACTTATCTTTCAAAATGTTTGGGTGGTCACTTATGTGTATTAAAAATAATATCGACCGGCGGCGTGTGCCGCCAAACGCTTACGTTAAAGGTGTTCGATGAACAGGAACACTTCGTTTATTTATATTCTTTGTTCACAGGCTTAATATATTGTTAAGAAGTAAATGTTATTATAAAGAGGGAAATAGTTTTTACAACTCTTAAACAACTGCAAAATGGAAACAAAGCAATAAAGTACGTGGTTGTGTCGGTCATACGACATCGATATATTTCTTAAAAAGAAAAAAAAAGCACTTGTGGTTTGGACACGATTGTGTCAACATTTTTATATTGGAACAGGACCGTGACATACCGCCTTAACGACATAATGACATGTCCATAACGTCGCAAACAGCGCGTGTCGTGCAGTAATTATGCATTGTTTATGTTTTTAGCCGTTTATGTCTTGATGGTTAGACAGGAACCATGCTGCGGTGGTCCTGTAATAAAGGCTATAAACGATGTTGCATCATCTATTATACTGTTATGTTATAGAAACACGGTGATTTGCTGTCGAACTCTTATGAGAAGAGACGATCATCACGTTCGTTTATTACTAACAGGTATCAAAAGTTTGAAATTAATATTGACATGTATGATTTCTTGTTTACATGGAGACATGTACAATCACGTCTAAAACATCTCAACTGCCAAACTATACCAAAATATGCAAAATAATAAATAATATAATAATAAATGGTCATTTTTATTTGTACATTAAATACACAAAAAAAATTGATGAATGGTATTGAAAATATGATATTCAATAAAATTAAATATTGCAATCAACTTCAGAGTTCATTCACGACCATTAAACCCGTTATTGACAAATGTTCGGAGATAGTGCAATTACGCGTAACTAGCATTTAATTATGAATCTCCATTTCGGTAATATAGTCGCCAAGTCAAATCCGCGTAAATGTCGTGGCAACCAAATTAGCGTGATTTACGGGAATCAATTGTTATCAGTCCGTAGACAACATAAATTAATACTTACTGTGCAAAAATGAAAATCGTAATCATTGAAATAACAAAGTATTAACGTTAAATCCCCTCTCCTGTGAAATTGATTTCGTGCAGATACGCGCTTTTTACCGACTACTACATACGCGGATTTGCACTATCCCCGACGAAATGTAAGTTTTTAAAATTGATCATTCTGAACTTTTTTTTACTGACGTATTTATTTAATCTATTTACGTCATTGTGCATCTTAACATATCAGTTGCGAAAACCATCACTGAAAATTTAACTAAAATACGATATATTTTTAAACTGCAATGCATAAATATAAATTCAACGAGATTACCAACCTCCTAAAAAAATGTTTTCCGTTTTCTTTGACTGAGACTCATCATCTGTCGTCGTCACACAATGAGTTGCTACTTTCTAAACGTTTTCCGCCTTCCGAACGCGTAATTGTCACTATTATTATATAGGATTATTCTTCCTACGTCTATTGTTCGTATGGGAAAATCTTAGGCGCCTTGCGGGTTGCCTGTCATTTATGATTACGCTAAAGATATTGTGATATTGTTACTTTTCTTTTATATCGAACGAACAAATCGCGCGTCTGGTGGTAAGCGACACGCCTGTCTATAACAGTTGCAGCACCGCTCAGAGCTTTAAGTCGCAAACTGAGACTTAAGTTGACAAGTCCCATGTGCCTGTAATTATACCAGTACCTTTACCTTTCAAAACCGGAACGCAGTAATATA